CGCATAATATCTCGACTGATCCGTGATGTTTAATGATATCTATGATAAAACGTGAAATAACTATTACTTATTTATTAAAGTTTAAATTATACGTTATGATGTATTTTTTTTTAAAGATTTATTTAGATGATGTATAATTTTAGTACAGTATATAGGTTTATACATCACGTATAACTAACATTTATTATCTTTATACATACCGTTTGTCAAACATTCAAATTAATTATAATTCTGGATTGAATAAAAACTATTCTCCTTACAAAAAAATTTTATTAAATAAATTTTCAGGTGTATAATTATTATAAAATGGGAGATGGACTAAGAAGACCACAATTTGACATTTTCCAATCATATGGAGATTTTTAAGTTTAATTAAGATTTTTGGCTCTTATTTATATGCTGTGCAATTTTATCTCGTGTCAGATGAATAAATTACGGGTCAAGTTAAACTTGACCCGTGTCAAATTGATCAATTAAAAAACCCGGTCGACATCAACACAATTCCGGCCCGCCCTAACCCTAAAATTCTGCTAGGGATCAATTTGACCCGGTCAAGTTTAACTTGACCTAAAAACCAATTTGACCCGTAACATATTCACTGGTAAATTCAAAATTTTCGACGTACTGAATGACAATTCGAATGCACTATCATGTCATAGATACGAAGTTATGTTGCTGTGTTGAGTGGCGGATTAAATTGTAAGTTCGAATTATGCCATTCAACATGTGATTTGAAAATAAATTCAATTCTTTTTGGACATAATGCTCCAAGAATAGCATGGCAACAAATCAGAAGATTGTCAATTTAACTTGGCAAATTGAATTCAAGCATATGGCTTTGTTTATACAACAATAATGAAATTTTGTGTAATATAAATTTTACTTAAATTCCTTTAAATGGTTTTCTAGTCTATTCCACATAGTATTGTTATTTGTGGAGATGATATATTTAGTATAATAAACCTGATTAATCAATAGAACTAGTGATGTCTACTGCAAAGTCGCGCCTATGTGTCTCGTTAGATTTAGTTGCGACATTTGCAAACGCTCAGTTTTGTTGCAAGATCTCAAAGTCACAAGGTCGAAAGTCTATATTACTATTATTATTAAAATGAATAACAAAATTAATTTTAAGTATATACATAAATGTAGATATACGTACAATTTAAAATTTAATTATATCATACGATTTTATAAAATATATTATGATAATATGCGTATATATTAGATTGTTACTTTATTATATATTATAACATTTTTATAATTTGCAACACTTGACTTTTAAATATGTATAAAATTTGACGATAAGTTGCAACCCTCGTTGCGCCATATTAAAGTTGTAATTAATATTTGCAGCAAGTAATACTTAAATAACAGTTTATGGTAATAACCAAATATTTAAAGAACGTTACAAATACTATAGTATGTTGCAAATGATAATAAAAATTGATCATTTTAGGAATATAAATAATTTTTTAAAAATTGTACTACATTTTTTAGAGTTTTAATTGTTAACTTTCAAAAAAGTTTTATACATAATTATATAAATTAAATTATAATTTATATTTTAGTTATTGTATTAGTAATAATAAGCAAAATTGTCAAATCACGATTTAAGTTTTTAAAGATAAAAAACAATTTTAAAATTAGGATAAACTAGTGTAATACTGTAATATAAACAATCACGATTAATAGTTTAGAAATTTTGATTTTAATTAATAATTATTTTGCGAAAAATAAAACTTTCCATTGTAATTTTTACAAAAAAAAAAATAAAATAACGATAATTTTTTACAAATAAAATAAATATAATTCTTAGCATACTATACAGTATTTAATGAAACCCTCGATTATTTCTTATGTTAGTACGATTATATTTTGCAATTTTATCATCAAGTTTTGCATTCACCATATTAAATTCTTCATCAGACATATCACGACGATCGGATTTATTTCCACAACAAGGATTACAAACCATTAATCTTGTAATCCATTTAAACATTTCATAAATAATAATATTATCATGATTTGCTTGCCAAAGTTCTCTTATCCAATTTATAATATTTAAAAGAGAAGTCATGATAATAGCAAGTATAGATACCACCAAAGTAGTTTTTGTAAATATTGCAGCATGTTGAACTGATAATGCTACTTGAGTCGCGTTCTGAGATTGAATAACAGTTTGATTAACATCTACATCCCGAGATAATATTTTTGATTGATCAATTAATCCTGATAATAACGTATTTACATCTTCACTAGTGATATTATCAATCATAGTTAATTTATCACATACAATTATTATTGCAGTAATTATAATTAAACCATTACTTAATATACCCAAATATTGATGAAATTTAGCATCAATGTTTTTGACAGATAATTGATGATCAAGAATTTTAGGACGAAATATGTTGAAAAAACGAAATAATCCACCAAAATAAATTGGACCACTAAAACTTAAAGGTATATTTTTTGCGTGATAAAAAATTTTGTATAAAATCATTATAAAATTTGATATGATAGAAAAAATTAGTTGTAAACTTGTAGCAACCCCAGAAATTTTCCCAATAGTTTGAATTTCTTGAAAATTCCATTGTGTGACATCGAAAGAGTTAATAAATAATTGGAATAAGAAATTGGAAAAGGAAGTTGAAAGTCCTAGTAATGTAAGCCATTGCATCATGAGTGCAGTGTAGAAAGTTAAACAGACTATTAAAATGTCTATCCTTTGTATTCTGATTGTAATACGTTTTTCTTCAAGTTCACGTTGTTTTGGCGTGGATTTATCAAATTTACGAATATTAGTTTCTAAGCGTCGTTGAATACCGGGCGTTTTTAAAAATTCTAATGACGAATGAATGGTATCGTCGTCCAAGGTATGTGGAATGTTTACTGCATGAATTGAATGAATTGAAGCAGATGATGTTACCTCATTAATCTCATTAATCGGAATGATTTGAGGTGTTGGAGTCAATGGTACTGAGGGAGTGACAGTTTCTTTCCGGGACATTATGATATAAAAATAATAGAGCTGACTGAAAAGAAAGAATGAACAATTTATATGTTTATCGCGAAGGAATAACCTCTCATCCGTTTAGTTAATATCTTAATTAATTTAGTAATACAAACTAATTTATTATGAAAATTTATATAGTAGGATTACCTAATTATGTTTCAGTATTATTTTTCGTATATGCCTACATTTACCCTCACTACAATGGTGATCTTAGTGATATCTTATTTAAGAATTTCAAATCCGAAGTATATATATGTTGTTTACGTAAAACGGAATTAATACTGTAAAAGTATACAGTCAAACAAAATTTACCATATCCTCTCGTGAATAAGCACCCATTATGAATAAGATTTTTAATAGTGCTCACGTGAGAACAAAAAGTAAATCTGAAAATAGGTTTTGTAATAAATAGATTTTATTTCAGAACTATTCTTTCAGTTTAACGTTAAAAATGGTTTAATAGATGGCACACCAGGTGATGTTTTACCGGATGTATGTAATAAACTTTGAAGAGAGAGCCACAATAAACTGATTAGGTCTTATGAGGGTGCTAATTTGCGATATGATCCGGTAATAGATTTAAAACGTTTATATTTATTATTTATTCACAAGGTAATGAAATTAACAAAAAAATATCGTAAAAAAAAAAAAAAAAAAAAGAAAAAAAAAAACGATGAAATGATGTAACAAATTGAAATCAAAAAATAGTCCAAGTTATTTTAAATTATTATATCTACAAAAAAAAATTTAACCCTCATGCATCAGGCGAATCCTTTTTCTTTCTTTTTTTACTCAACATTCTAGTAACAGCTCTAGCAATCTTACCCTTTCTTTCATCAACTTTTTCATTATGATTGTTGTAAACATTCGGATTCCGACAACCATTTTTAACATCGTAATATAAATTTTCTTTACT